CTTTTCTTACCAAGGCTAGCTGAAATCATGACGCCCATCCGGAGGCTGACACACAAGGGTGTAAAGTGGAGTTGGGGAAAAGAGCAGGAGACCGCCTTTACAACCATCAAGCATCTCATCGGCTGTGCACCAGTATACAGCTACTATGATCCAGCTCTGCCTTTGGGGGTGCAATGTGACAGCAGTCAGAGCGGAATACGTGCCGTTCTAATACAGAAACTTAAGCTCTTGGATTTTCGCCGTCGAGCGCTCACAGTTGCGGAAAAGCGCTATGCGCAAATCGAAAAAGAGATGCACGCTGTTGTTTACGCAATGGAGCGATTCAACGATTACACCTTTGGCAGGGAGGCTACCGTGTATACTGGTCATAAACTGCTCCTATCAATATCCAGTAAACCATTAAATAGTGTCCCTCGACCTCGTCAAAGAATGCGTATCCATCTCCGACAGTCCGACATGGATATTTTGTACACTCTGAGGGCGCAGATGTACATCGCGAATGCTCTGTCGAGAGCTTTATCCTCCGATAGCCGAAATTCAACAAGAAGAAATCGCGGCAGTAAACATAGTACGTCTGGCGGTAACAGAAGATCGCCTGAAAGAAATAAGGCACCATACGGAGGTAGAGCGACGTGCGCGGCTTTGCGAGAGGTGATTTTGAGTGGATGACCAAACACAGGATAAACTTTTAAAGAAATTTACGCCATTCTTCAAATTTCGGGATGAACTCACTGTGTATGATGGTTTGCTATTAAAAAATCGCGTTTTACTTCCACCGCCGCTTCGAAAAGAGATGTTACAACATGCTCATCGATCCCATTTGAATGCTAGCTGCATCATTAGCAGAGCACGCAATTTGATGTTCTATGCCGGCATGATGAGTCGAATCCGAGATCTAAAATCGAACTGCTCAGCCTGCCGGTCCCACGACGCTCGCCAGGCCAGAGAACCAATGATGCGGCGTGAAATTCCAGACCGACCATGGCAAAAGTAGCAGTTGACTTGTTCTGTGATAACGGAAAGACTACCTAATCACGGTGGACTACTACAGTGACTATTTTGGAGATCGATACACTCACCGCTGCCATCAAAGAAGCAGTCATCAATAAACTTAGATATCAGTTTGCCAGACATGGAATACCGGAAGTACTGATCTCCAACAATGGCCCGCAACTTACAGATGCTGCGTTCCAGACTTTTGCGAACAAGTGGGAATTTTTGCATCGAAAAACCAGCCCGTATCACAGCCAGTCTAACGGAAAAGCGGAGGCAGCGGTCAAACAAGCCGAGAAGCTATTGTCGAAAGCTAGTCACTCATGAAGATCCATATCTGATGCTGTTGGAAATTCGCAACACACCATCACCGAACATCGGTCTCAGTCCAGTTCAACGTCTGTACAGCAGATGAACAATCATCCTAGTGCCTACCCCGGTGGAACTTTTACACCCGGGTTTGCCATCTCATGAGAAGCTGCAAAAGAAGTTAAGAAAACGAATGACCGATCAAAAACGGTATTACGACCGCGGGACCCGGGCGCTACCGGAGCTATCAGTAAAGGATGAAGTGTGAATCCGACAAATACCGGGTGTCAGCGACCGATGAAAGAAAGGTATAGTGACTGCGAAGATAGGAGTAAAGATTTTCTAAAGTCAATACTGGAGAGAAGATAATCAGAAGGAACCGTGTGTAGCTGAGGCAACACCAGGAACGGAAGGCAAATCTGCAGCAAAGCATTTGACGGCTGAAGGAGAGGTCATAACGGCAGGGGCAGCCAAGACTACGCGGAGTGGAATAGTTTACGGAGGCTTCAGTGACACTGATGCGGCTGATGTCGAAAAGGAAAGGATGTGATGAGATTCTGTAAGCACAAGTACGATGCGGATTTACGTGACGAAGCAGGCGACTGGCGTGCCGCAAGCGAACAGAGCAGTTGTTTGGATGCCTACGCTTATTTCGCTTACGAGCTGATTACTTCTTATGAGGCTACGCTGGAGCGGGTTTGTTTGAGTGACTCAAAGGAAGAATCTCATGAATGCAGTAGCGTCCTTAGTTATGGAAATGGCCCACTTATTTACATTGAGGTTGCTACATGCTTGTTACGCTGTCATTTTTGCTCCGCTTGCTTTGTCAAATAAACCGTTTGTCCCTGAACGACCGAGTTTCACGACACACCTGTCTCACCTTGTGCTTGAGTCGAGACGTTAAAACACATGGCTCGCATGTGTCGTGTCTGCTGCCGTCTCCTAGTTGGACTGCCTGGTTAGAGTTGTTTGGTGCTGAGTTATCAGCGGAGTGATGGATGATTATGGCGTGGGGCGGTGAAAGCCGCAAGGAAGCTGTCTCGCTGATACCGCCTTGTCCTTGCACGATAGCCAGCTGTTTGTGATGGTATGTTGTTGACAAGGTGTAGTTACCTTGACCTTGAGTGCTTGCTTAGGGCATTATGGTTTGCCGACAAGTTCCACTTCTATCCCACTGTTTGTTGTTTGTTCAATTGGCTCTTGTACTGCTATTGTTGTTGCTGATGATCAGGATGGCGCGGCAGAACTCAGTTGGTCAACAGATCGCAAATCAAGTTGGGTTTAGCAACAACCCCAATAACTATTACCACCGCAAAGAAATGGGGTACGACCAGTTGTCAAAACGAAACGGCTTGCTACATACATGCTGAAACTGGAACTTTATCATGTTAGCCTTCTGTCCTCTAGTGTGAAGCGGCTCCTAGTTCATTAACAATAGTTCCTCGAGGAACGAATGGGTGCTGACCTCATAACTGTTTACGTTACTTCTCACCTGGACGCTCAGCCACGTCACTAATTTTCTAGGCTGTCTACAGCTAATGCATAAATCATTCTAAAGAAAGTATCTCAGTTTCAGTCCCGTCATGCCGTGATATTTAGCGATCTGGTCATGATAACTAGGAACTGGCTAAAAACGGAAGCCATCGATGCCTTACTGCTTTGAAAATATGTCGTCCAGCGTTATGCTCGGCCTACTATGGAAAGTGGCGTAAGTTCGTGCCATTGCAGGTACCGATCTTTTGAACTCATTGATGACTTTGAGGTTCAACTAATTGACTCGTCTTGGTGCCGCCTGCAACTGACAGATGGTGAGACGTTTGATGGCTATCGTATACCGCTGAAGCGATCAATGACACTGTGCGAGCACATATCTATCTTTTCCAACAACACTGAAGATGGCTACCAGAAACTTGGTTGAGTTGTTATTTCGCTTTTTTCCAACACTATCTCAAAAGCCTACTGCATTCCGCCATAAGGAAGCGCGGATAGTCGTTCCCATTTATAAGAAAGCAGTCTTTTAAACTTTCAAACGAGCATCCGACAATTCTCCTTCCTGTGTTTTCTAAAGCCATGTAAGATATCATTGTATAAACACTCATGGGGTATTTAGAATGATGTAAGCTAATCACGCAGGTGAAGCATAACTTCAGTCAGAGCCGCTGATGCATGAAGAATCTGTTATTTTTGTCAACTGAATGAAAGGAAGGAGCTGACACTATCTATTTTGAGTTCTTTAGGACTTTTGATTTTTTTCCATAATCGCATTCTCCTTCCAAAGCTTCATCGATATGGGATGGATGACCCTATCTTGGCCTGCCTGCGGTCCTAATCCGAAGTCGCCTGATTGGAGAGTTCCCAGATCTTTGTATGGACCTGGCATAAGTGTGGTGTGCATGAGACAACTACACGGCACTGTAACGCGACCCAGATAGTGCTTGCGAATTGTCAACTTGGAAGGAGCTCCGGTAAAACGTTGCCGATTTTAAAATATTGTGCATTTATCACTAGGCTACTACGAGTAACAGCTAGAACTGCACCATTCGTAATGTGCCTCTCACCAAGGCCATCTCGAAGTTCTTGCACGTGATGATATAATTTACTCAGGACCAACCGAAAAACAAGCAAAAAAGCTAGTCTACATCTGACCCCTTGCGGAGGGTGTTTGGGTCTTTCCATCCTGCCATCTTTTCGCAAATGCTCCAGAGTCACGAGCGACAGTTGGAGCACCCTTAGTAAAAGCAAGACCGTTTCTCTTGAACCGGCACAGCAGCTAAAATAGCCAAAGGCTTGCTCCATTTCCCTTACTAAATTAGACTGAAGGCCCTAATAGTTTTCAACAGTCACTATCTTCATCTGTTGATGATCTTCTATTGGCATAACAAATGGTCGAGTATATCAACTGCACTTGACGTCAGCTATTGTAACGCACTCAAGGTATCCCACTGGGAGGCCATCCCTTAAAGTTGACCACACAGCAGTCGCATCGTTTTCTCTCTTGGTGTGTACCAGTCATAGAATGCTCTTCCATCTTCTTCCATTTCAGGTTAACAAAATTGAAAATGTAACTTGCCGATGAAGCACTTCATCAACACTACATGACTTGTCCGAACTTATAGGGGATACAGCGTGAAGTAGCCAAAACGTGCACATGTGCACCTTTGGATGAGATCAAGGGCATGCTTTATCTTTTAAATGCAATTTTTCTTGGTTTTACTCATGTCCTCCGACTGGACTTGTTAAGAGCGTGCTTTTTAGTTGGAAATCCGCCACATCTAGACTCAACCAAACAGCCATCAAATGCTTGGAAAAGTACTTCACGGCCGTTTCATCCCATCGGGAATCGTCATCAGTGCACCTTCCATCTGACCCTTGTAGGGCTCGAACCCGCAACTTAAATGTTGTCAGTCTGTAGTTGAGACCACTGAACTACGGGTGACGGCAACATCTGTCGTGACTAACTTACTAAATGTGATATAGCAATGTTCACTATCCACTGACTTACACACTATTGCAGTGCAGGTGACAAGGTAGCTTCGTCATCAGGGGACGAAGTTACAACGCTTCTTTAACGTGCTTTTTCCCCACCACCTAATTAGAGTGTGGGGTTCAGCGTGAACAAATGACGGAGCGTAGACGCTTAGTATGATTTTTTATGATACAACAAATTTTATCTTTTGGATACTTTCCCGCATCCAAAGGTCGCACTGAAATGGAAGACGGAAGCATACACTTTAGCTGATCAGCTGGAGAAACAAGGCAAAACGTTTCAAACGGAGATTTCCCGCTCCCGTGAAGAAACAGCACGGTTATCCAAACGGCTTCAAAAAGTCAACAGGAAACGAGCCTTCAAAGTACGTGCTTACTTGATTTCCTGTCTGGTTCTTACCCCAGATTGCCCAAGCCGTGTCCAACTTTGTTCGTGTCTCAGCCTGATAACACCCGATTTTCATCTGTCTATTCAGTTCCGATCCCAGTTATCGAACTGATCGAAGTTCACTTCAGTGCGAATCGCGGTCCACATTGAGATTGCGCGTCGCAATCCGTTTACACAAGAAATGTCTCAAAGTGACCAATAGCTTGTAACTTCTTATGGCACTAGCTTTCAAGTTGGTTTATTTTATGAATAAAACGCGCCATCCACCGCAATGGGTACATTAGAAAGCATACCAGGTAGCGAGATGATTCAGAGAGGGTGACTACGTAACTGAGTCAGTTCTAGTTGTTTCATTAGGTGAAATCGTTCTTTAGATTTGATCATACGAACCTCGGTGAATATATTTAGTTATTCCCGCCTAATCAACCTTCAGATCAAACAAACTATGCATAGTGGAACTTCACCACTCAAACCTAGGTTGCGCTATCATGGCCTGGTAATCTTGCATTGAATCCATACTTGTCTTAGTGTCTTGTTGGTAAATGGTCTTAGTATAAATAACCTTCCCCAGATGCAGTATCCCAGGTCACTTGCAAAACTCACTTTCTTTTTATGACTGTGCTTAGTTTTTTACTTATATTTATAGTTTGACAAAACCCTTCAAATCAACTCCTTTCTTCAGCCTTAAAAGTCTTTGCCTTGACCGTAGAGCTCCTCTAACATTTAATTTTAAATGAAAACAGCATTTATAATACCCCAGTTTCGATACCTGGTACTGGATTTGCGTTGCTTTCGCCCATATCCCTATTCACGTATACAATCAGGTTGAAATGGTCCACACTGAAACAAGCCAATTGGTCGTGTGCTTCTGTTTTCCGGGAATGATTCCATTATCTTTTTACATTTCAATGTCTGTGTATTAGTGATATACCGTAGGCTATCCTTCCTATGTCTCTCTCTTTGTTGAATTAGCGTCTCACCCGATTGAAGCACATGCCTATGGGCACGTGGATATTGCATTTTAGCGTGTGGCGTACGTGGTTGGATGTTACTCAAGTCACTTGGGCAAACAGGGGTGGGGACGCATGCATCAATGAGCATAAGTTTGCAGTAGCTATCTGGAGTATGTGCAACTGCGTGGGCGCTACTTCAGTAGTCCATGCCATCAGCAGTGGAGTGCCTGCGCTGCGTGGTTGGACAGCGGACGACTTTCTCCAATCCGTGAATAGCCAACCACTCGCTCGGACGAGATCCGGTTCCGAACTGTATACACAAATGCTCATTACCTCGCACAGGCCCACTAGTTCCCACAAACTGAGCTTCGCTTTCGAGGTGTCCCATCTCGCATCTGAGCTATATCGATTCGGTTAGAACTGGTGCTCGACAAACGACACCTCATATGAACAGCTCCAGATGAGTCAGCCCTCAGAACAACTTTCGCCGGCACTGTACCCTGTTGTCCAATGTAGCGGATTGTACTCTTCGGTCTACATAGTCATCGCCCCAGTTACTGGCACCGAGGCAGTAGTTAATCATTTTCTATCATTTCTGAGTCAAGCTAGGCCATAGCGGAGTCACTTGAAGCTGGAAGAATTTGGAATTGCACATTACCATCTTCAAGTTGCTCCATTTCACACGTCGGCCGACATGTACCCAAGCAGCTTGCATTATCGACAGATTACAGATGACGCGAAATACGCAACTTTGTAAGTTAGCAAGAAAATGGTGCATCTAAGTTAACTGATACGAACTATATCACTGGTTTTCATAAGCCTAGCTAAGAAAATACTGCTGTGCTCATGCTCATGGCTAGTAAGTGAACCGGAGCATAAAGTATCAACATCATTATGATACGCGCTAGTCAGTAATTTGCTGGGATTGTTCCCTTTCAACGGATGATCCGGAACGATTTTTTTCAGTGATGCATGGGCACGCGTGGATACTCGAAACGAAAGTTGTTGAGCGTTGAACTCCAAAATCCAAACTATATTCCAAAGCGCGAAAGCATTGTGGAATACTTGGACTCTAGAGATAACTGTTGAGTATTACACCCAATTTTCACTCGTATGCAAGAATGAATGTTGGGTACTGTAAGTGACAAGTGCTTGGAACGCTGAAGCTAACGCGGTCACCACGGAATCAAAAGTACGAAGCCGGAGCTGGATAATAATCGGTGCTCAGCAATTTTCACTTCTAGCAAGCTCAGAATCAACAACTACAAGTCAACAGAAAGCCAACAGATTTGATTGCACTTCCCATATACATAAATGTAGTCAACAGTCTAAGAAATGTATATGCAGCCTTCAGAAAACATGGGAAGTAACAGGGAAGAGCAATAAGAGTAAACATGAAACGATTTTGGTTGGCTTTTCATATGTTGTTTCACTGCTTTTTGTCATTTTCAATGTTCAAGTCATTAAATATGTGAATCAAAATAATCTGTATGCAATTTTATCACTGATTCCGGTTGCGGAACACGTCTTAGAGTGTGTCAAGCCACTACACCTCTAATCTTTGGGTTAGCATCCACGAAGACGTACATGTCCAACGGTGGGTTGACTTGACATCCGCGATTTCAAGTGCTTCGCCAGGTGAAAGGCGGACGACCACGCGGTCACCTCCTGTCCGGTCCCGGACGAGCGAATAGGATGCGGCGCGGCAAACGCTCAGGCGCCGTGTGTAGGACGTGACCAAGCCATCTCAACTGGCGCAACAAAACAAGCTTGTTGAGAAGGATACGCAAATTCCACAATACGCGACCTCGAACATTATCAATAAAACCCGATTTTGCCATCACACAGAATCAAGCCTCCTTAATCAACCGTTGTTTAAGGCGGAAAGACGACTTATATTCTTCACGCGAATTGGCCAAGACTCGCTCACATACAACAGTGAATTAACGGATGCATCGTAAACACGGCCTTACTGCACCACAAGTCCCTCAGATTGATAAATACTGATCGAACTTGAGGGATGCGAAGAGCTGCTTCCTTGCTGATAGTGCCGCCAGCAGACACGCAGCTCCCAATGTATACGGAAGTAGCTACCTGTCCAAGTTGTGCTTCTTCTAGAGTGAGCACTAGAACGAATATGGGGCAATCCTGGAGCAGAACTTTACACTTCGAGGGGATAAAGCTCATGCCACACTTAGGTGCTTCAAACGCCAAAAGATTCAGAATGAATTGCGTACCCAGGGTCGGCCCGTTGTTTACAGTTACCAAGCTTGTCTTGTAATCTGACGGCGCAAGTACAAGCTTGCATAGGGGTAGGGCGACCCTCACAGTATTCGTAGCCCATTTGAACCGGTGGTGGTTACGCGGCAGCGAAGCGTCGTCCTTGTGTACCGGCGCACTGCTGATGGCTCAACAAGTAATGCGATACAGTGCATAATCCAACTTGATCGCGCGCACCCGCGGTAGAAGCTTTAGGTCAAAATTTTGGAATTCTTCTAGAGCTCTCGACAACGAAGGGTCAGGAAAGCTAGCTGTAGACCCCTACTTTGAAAATGCAAAAGCCATCAGTAGTACGCCGGGGTGTAATACCAACGATTCGATGCCGCGCAATCCCCACCAGTCGAACGTGGGCTACGGATACTGCGAGGGTGGAACCAGCGCCCTCGGATTACAAGACAGGTTTGTGATCTTTGAGAGTACCGACCGGAAATATAAAGGTAAAGTGCGCGTATGTTGGTGGCATACTTCCCTGGCACCATAAAGCAGGTTAGTCAACCGAGTCGAATGCAGCCCGTATATCTTGGAATGCTACGATAAGGGGCCTGCCGTAAAGATAGCGATGTTCGGGGAGTTGTCCTGAAGATTTGATCCATCTACGGCTTGGATGGAAGTCAGTTTGTTCTTCACAACAGTAGGATTCACGTATTGTTCATCGCGGCTATGTTCCGCCAGTCTTTTTTCAAATAGATATAAGGGAGTGGTTTTGATAAATTATTGATATAAAAACACACTAACAGACATTTAAAATGTGGGCAACAGTGTAGTGCATTAATGTTTCTTCTACTTGCCGAGAACTCTTTACTTTTTTCTTATGAATGATTTCTGCGCTTTTATAAATAAATAAATATATAAATATGTATATATATATGGGATAAATTACTGTTTTCGGCAATAATTTTTAACTATTTACTGTGGAGGCGCAGGATATGTGCTTATTAAGTGGTTTGCAGTCGTATACAACCACAGCATTCACGTTGGCAGCCGTTCATTCATAAAACACTTCGGTTTTAACATTTTTCATCCGTCACAATGGAACACATGCTTAGATTTACACACAAATTCTTTTAGTCAAACTCATACTGAACAATTTTAGAGGAAGAAACTCCGTAAACTAACATGATATAATTGCGCATTGCAGGAAATGGGACATCGACCTTTTATTTTAAGGGAATTATTTTTTCCCCGTCAATTATTTGAATTTGAATTTTCGCGCTACATACTAGTGGAGCTCGACCGGTTAGGCGTCGCTTAATATATTGAGGTGGATTGTAACTGAGTGTGATACCAGTGCATACTGATAAGTCGTATGGACTTTGGAATCAGCTGATGTGTTTGTGTCAATTTTGTGGTGTTTTATGGGGGGACTTCATAACACATGCAGATTTTCGCGTAGAGAAGCCCATGATCTGAGTCAAGGAAAAAGGCCAAAAACCTGCAGTTCCGTACGCTGCCACGCCATCCGAACCTGATTTCAGTGTGTTCAATTTGAGACCAGTCTTGTGTTGGAGAAGTGGGATGCCTGGTTGCGGAACGTATTTTCGTATGCCCAAAGTATGTGATCGAGAGAAAGTGGTGGTTGACCTCGCACTATGTTAGAAGTCTCTTTCCGTTATTTTGGCGGTCCTTTTTGAGCGTGTGGTGACCACCAATGTAACTTTCGCATGATAACAGACAGTCAAGCTGTACATTAAAATCCCCAGTGAGGCAATCGACACCCGATTTATTAGCGTTGCTTAAGAATTAA